GCCTGCATCGCTTCCAGTCTCTGGAGGTCCCCCCTCCCCATGGAGCCAACCTAGCTCCAAATGGAGCCTGGCATTTCCGAGATCTGTTTTTACCACTAATGCGGTTCCATTCACATGTTTTCATAATTTTTATCACTTGAGATGCATTTCCCTAATGCCTGAAAAAACAGACTATTAGACAATTATAATGAAATGCTGCAGCATGCCCGGCAACAAACATTCATTTTCTGAAAGTAAAAAATGAGTCTTATATTCACAAATCCCACCGCTTGGAAATGTATATGATACACAACATTTAACCTGTCAGCAGCCTCATTAGTGTCAATGAGTAGAAACTGGCAATCAGGGGATGGTGAGCTTCACATGTGTTTATGTTTTAAAATGTTCCCGAAATAGCTCTGCTGGCAGGGTTGAAACACAACCCTTCCTTGGGACAAATGGCGCTCAGTCTCCATTTTACGGTCTATTTACATTTTTAAGAAATTTGTATTTCACACATGGATCGTCATTTGTAATTAACAGAGCCAACAGTCTGCAAAGTAATCATGAAATAAAATAGTAATTAATAACGACGATAAATTTAAGTTTAACCATGCTGGCACATAAATGTTCCAGAAAATACACAAGAAAACTGATGCACCTTTAACGAGCATGAGTTCAACGGTGTCTGTATGTATGGTGCCGGTATTCAGTATCCACACAACCATTAAGACATTTTCATAAAGTGGAAGAAATATGTGAGCTATTTCAAGATATAATGAAGAGAAACAGACTTTCATGTAAGAAGCCAATTTAGGAAGAAAACAACATAAACAATAGTAACTTGTGTGTTCAAGTGAGGCATCTTTTAAATTTTGAGTAATGAAGATGTCAAGCCAAATGCTAGAGTAGTTTGACTTAATTAGGTGGCCTATTTTTCCAGGCATCCTTTCATTTCCCATTGAAAACTCAGCTTGTATGCAAGGCAACAGGGGCAATTTTGTCTGTAATGAATACCTCAGGGACCGCACAGTAATCACGTGGATGTGGGATTGAGGACTGGTTTGAGTAACTAGTCTGTGCTTGCTAAGACGCCAGACTTTGTTGGGCTAACTAGATTATTCAATGCATGCAGCTTCATCATTTTCTTGGGCCAGTGGTCAAAAAGTCAAGTTTACTTCAGAAAAATTTCCAAAAGGAACCAATCTAAAAGCAATCGGTCTAATCTTTAGTTCAAATTTATGACACAATCATGGACGTTTTATGGCCCATGTTAAAGAATTTTTTTTCTTTAAAAATACTCTTAAAAACACTACTACCCTTTCTATGCTCTTTTTGCCATACCTCATTTATACTCTGATCTAGAGTGTTTTCTCATTGGGAAAGCATAAATTACAAAATAGTCATTGGCGTGTCTGCAAAGTTTAGAACATCATTCTAAGAACAGGTTTGAGAAAACATTGGTGCAACAATGAACTTAAAGAGTCAAGTGGCCACAGGGCTATGGGATTGTTAATTACAAACAGCAACAAGTTGCTGTGACAAAGATTCCTGTTATTGCAGAAGAAGATAGAACGGGAAGCCATGACATACACCCAAGAATAAGCTATCTCAGGGGCCACAGAGAGCACTGATGAAGAAAACCAGATGATACTCATCCCTGTGATGTCCTTAATTTAGAAGGTCGCTGGCATCTTAAGACACATCTGAGAAGCAATGGAAGGCGCTGCACTGCTGCTGGGAGCCAGAGAGAAGAACTTAACATGGTGAGCCACAAGCAGGGCAACACAGACGGTGGAGCCTAGACGCCTGATGGAAGGTTCTGATGGAAATCCTGTTCAGGCAGGAAGCCCAGCTCCCCACCACCATGCTATGCTTTCTGGCATAATAGTCTAGATAAATTCTAAATAGATATTGTTATATCAATTTACGATATGCAGCAAGATATGGGGCTCATATACATAAAAATGGTTACAAGGATGAGTGTGGCCACCATCACAGAGGAGCCCTTATCTATGTGTGTGGCAAGGATAGCATCCACTCACTTGGGAGATCTCAAGGATGTTAACGATGGTCTTCAAGCTCCATCTCCTGACTTGTTCTCTCTACATGTCCACTCTGGTATCTTAGTCTAACTCCGTTGTCTCACTCAGGGGTGGCAAGAAGGCTGAGGGCTCTGAGGGACTTCTGTCCCCTTCTCATCTGGCTCTCCTATAGTCTCTTCACACTTTCTCTCAAATTGGACAACCCTGATCCTGCAAGGTCATGCGCTATCTAGCAACGTGGTCCCTTCAGACAGGGTTCGGATGATTATATTCCAGGTTAAAACAAGGTGAATAGCCCAAGTGCCCAGAACAGCTACACCTGCTAGAGCAGAAAATAGTCAGTTTTGCAAGCATGGTGTCAGGGTGCAATGGCGGTGTTATGGGCTTTTATTACATACTCGTCAGTCCTATTATCCTGGTGTATTCCATTTAAAACCTGCCTATCAATTACCAAACCATATGCAAAACATTTTAAGGGTCTGTATACACTAGTTTAAGAGGTAGGGAGTGCACTTGGCAGATAGGGCAAGGAGCCCTTTGAGACTGTCTAAAAGAATATCATTAATTTTTACAGGGTTCTTTCATTTCTGGAGCAGTTCCAGCCTAGGCTTTCTATAAAAATCTTCTCAAGTTAAGGATTATGCTGTATGCTTGCAGAAGCATTGCAGCAAAAACCCTTTTCCATATGCTGCTACTTAGCAACCTAGTCCGCACGTTCCACAGCAGGCACTGAGCTGAAAACTGAACAGGAATTAAAATGTTGAGTGCAGCCATGAGCAGAGTTGTCCGGGACTACTAAGCTGTGCAGCTGTTTGATGTGAGGCAGGAAACGGAACAAAACTCTTTGCTTTCCTCCAGGATGACTGAGATCTTATTTATGGTTGCCTCAAGGATACCTTGATTGAAATTCCCCCAAAAGAACAGGTAATGAATTCTTGAACACAGTATATTGCAGGAAACAAAAAGAATATTAAGTGCAAAGTTTACCAAAGGCCCTTTGACTCGGGTAATTTGTGAAGTTCATTTGTATTATCTTTCATTAGTCTAACTTTCAAAACAACTCATTTTCAAATGTAAAACAAAGCAAAGCACGTGCATACACTCTGCATTGTTTACACAGAAATACCTTGCTGCTGCCTCACTAAGCCGCCATATCTTTAGGAAGCACAGAATTATTTGCATCTCTTTATTCCTTTATTATAAACAACCACCGCATTGGAAATAGTCTTACGAACTCCTGACCAAAATATTATGAAAAACAGTGCTGGTGGTTTGATTTTAGTAAGGAATTAATATTGCGCACTGTAGTCAAATTTAGAACTCTAAGGAGCTGAATTGAAAAGATGCAGATATTCTGAAGTTGCCATTCTTTATCCAAAACTCCTTAAGACGGACATAATGATTCTCTGCGAGCGAGTAGCTGCCTTATAACAGTAATCATTTATTGAGTTTGTGTTTCTACTGTTTCAAACAAATTCAATTAGCCTTCACACTTCAAAACCCTAAAGGCCCAAAGAGATGGTACTGGCTTGCTTTAATCTAATAGTAATACTAAACTTGTCAGTACAGTTTTGGGATTGATGGTTAGAAGCAAATTAATAGTAACATTTTTCATTTTTTAATCAAACAGTCCTATTCAGAACTACCTATGGGTCCTGGAGGGTATTTAGCGGCAGGAATTCAGGGAAGGAAGGATTCTGTATGCAAAGCTTGCCTTTCAGAGAGGTGCATGCACCGATGTCCTCCATAGTGTGGGAGTCGGCAGAGTCTGGGTCTCTGAACATCATGATGACCTTTATGGTTGGACCATATAGTGGAGCATCTAGAATGTCTGTCAGACACGGCAGTGGTCATAATGACTCCTAACTAAATGCTGAGTTCATGGAGGTGTGCATGCCTGTTGTTAGGTAAGCAGAAGACACTCACTCACAGGCAGCCCTCCTACTCTGTGCACTAGACTACGTTTTCTGACAACCACCATGAAAGAAAACGCTGCTGTACATAGGCCCTTTGCACCCCCTCTCCTCTCAGTGGTCAAACAAACTCAAGCCAATAAATAGGCACTGAAAACTACTACCTGGGAGTTCATGCTTTCAGTGACTGGTATATGAAATCCCCGGCAAACGTGATTTTTACTATTGAAGAAAAAAAAATAGATTCATGTCCATGAGATGCTCCTGTGAACTCTCCTCACTCTCATTTATTCGCTTATTTATTTTTGCTTATAGTGTTCTGATATTCTGTGCTATCCTGGCACCCTAGGGCAGTTATAATTTTGCTTTAACTGCCCTCTCCGGATTAGAGGGCCCGGTTTTAAGTATCTAAAAATAAATAGCCAAGCATTTACTTTTATAAATGTAACCATTTACATTCACGTTCCACTTTCGCTGTCACTTCTCATGATTAAATACCTTGTCAACCTTTCCCAGGGAAATGGACACAAAGGTGCCCTTGAAAGATTTCAATCATGCTTGGGCTCGGGGACCTAAAAGCCACTCTCCCCCCAGCCCGCCCGAAAGTCCTAAAAGCAGCCAGCTAGGACTCAGCAGCCACAGTACCTCAGTGATGAACAATATGCACACTTGAAGAAGGTCCCACACAGTTGATAATTGAAGCTATTGGTGGCATGTGTAGCTTCCAATGATAAACTCATCCACCGGCAGCAACACAAATAACTTGCACCTGTAGCAACTTTATTTCCTAAAGGTAACACAACTGTTTGGGAAAGCTCACGCTGGCAAAACAGCTGCTCGCCATTCTGGAGGGGAAGCAAGGTAGCATCCTTCAACAAATGCCAAAGCTGGTGTTTTATCAGCTCCATCTCATTAGCTGGAAACAAGGCTTAAATGCTTTGTTTATAAATTATGATTATTCCTGATTGCGGCAGTTACTGATAGTGCTACTCATTTGCAATGCAACTCTTTGAATTTGTTTAATTACAATTTGAAACAAGGCAGAGAAGATTAATTAACCCACCTGGCTGGCTGGCACATAGTCCTGGCTCGGCTCTGTCATGCTCATATACATGTTCTCACCGTCAAACTGCGAATAAAATAATAGTAAACATTGAGCAATCTTGACTGTGTGTGTGTGTTTGTGTGTATGTGTGTATGTGTATTTCTTTCTCCGCCCCCCACCTCCCCACCATCAAACTGGAAAACAGTAGCCACTAAAAAAAAAAAAAAAACATGGCTGAGAATATGAAAAATCTGTCATAGTAAGTGGGCCACATCTTTCCTTTGATGTTTCTGTTGTCATCTTTCCTGACCCTGTGTGTCAGTGATTTGGAGTAATTAGTGCTCTAGTAATTACAGCAAGCAAGCAAGAAATGAATGGTTCCCTTTCATCTGCAATCTGTTTTAAAACAAAATGGCTCATTTTGCACGCCGTGTATACACACTGCAGTTGGGCTGTAATGAAGTATTAAATGAACGGCATGCTTTCCGAAAGAAGAAAAAGAAATGGGAAATACAAGGAGGTACAGCTCCGTGCACTCTGAGTTCAGCTCTCAGGAAAGAAAAACTGCAGAGTTTCATAATGGACTAAAACTGGCTTCACGCTAACAGCCGTTTGATTAGAAAAGCATTTTAAATTTATAGTAGCATTCAAAGAAAGCATGTGCCACCATAACCGCAGCGAAGAACGGAGTATAAGAATAACAAAGAAAACCAATAATAACATACAGGTACCATGATCAAATTTCTTTTCCTGAAATTTTTCAAATACATAGAACGAGTACAAACAGACCAGTGCATACAAATTGACCCTTATATTTGCAAGTTAGGAACAAGAGGGGAGGAGAGGGTATTCACAGGGCAGCCCTGGTGCAAAACTATCACACAAGCCATAACATGGACAGCGGCATGCACAGGGCCCTTGGTGACGCTGGCTTTGAACCGCTCCATTCAATCTGTGTCTATCTTGAGTCACTTGGCAAACGAGGCAAGTATTCCTCTTCAGTTAAAGTATGGTTTTTCCTAAGGTAATCATCAAATGGGCCAGTATTGCCAGCTTCAAAGCTAGGTGTAGATATGTGCTCAGTGACAGGCTTCTCAGACAGAGGAACTTGCAAATGTGAGAATCCACTTGTCAAAACGAAATGATCATTGATAGAAATACAAGTTAATGGTAACATGGAACTTTTTACATACCACCAAACTGATAGAGGAACAGAAAGCCATGAGTCAGAGACATGCTAATCTATCACCTATGGGTTACTAGCCCTCTAAGAATGCTATACAAGCCCCCACAGATGCATCAGAGCCTCTGCTATACTCAGTAATAGAGAATCAGTGGTAAAAGCCCCCCTAATGACACTGGAACACTCATCAGGTTCACCTCAAATACTGAAAGGATTTCTTCGTGTACCACCGTATAAACACATCTCGTATCGTGCACACCACCTGTCTCGAGGTCACAGAATCCTTTATCGAATGACACGGTTGTTTGTGCAATCCAGAGTTAGCACAAGCAGAGAGAAGAGCTATGCCACTCAGCTGCTCTGCCAACGGGTTCTGGAGTCTTGAGTCCTAGCAACTTACCAAAGGATGACGCTCCATCGGTCAGGTGAGCTCCCCTAACACCAATCACCCAACCATCCAACAACTCAAATCCTGACAAAGAGTTCAGTGGGGGAATTCTCCAGCACGGCCTGCTCTGGGTCCTCTGGTTTGTTTGCAAATGTTTTCAAAGTTAAGATGCCAAAGAACCACTTAAAACGTGGACAGTTTTTTGACTCTGACAAACTAAACGGAACAGAAGTAGCGAAGTGAATCAGACGCTCGGCGGCCCATGCATATTTGAGAATGTGTTACTTTCTATCTCATCTTCTCAAACTCATTTTCTAAATCTGGCAGCAGCCTCCAGCCAGCTAAAGCTTTGAAGTTTTGGTTTTAGTTTATCCAAAGTGTGGGCTAATTGAATGTGTTCATGTTACTGTTCTGGATGGTGTTCCCTCCAAATGTACCAACGTGAAGCGCTTTGGAGCCAAGGCTGAAATAGCATTTCACAATAAAATGTATGCAGTTATCAACATTGTCAGTTTTTCAGTATATACCATGTTCCTTTCTACCTGCACACATGTCTGCTGCTATGCATTGGCTAATTTAATCTTCTGACTACCAAGAGTTAGGTATTATTATTAGTACTTGAGTATTGTAAAGGAGCATAGAAAAGGACAGAGCAGTTAGACCAGATGCTGAGCTATGGAGCTGCTGCGAGGTATGTCTGGGATTAAGTCAAGGCGGACTGGCACATGCCCTCACCCACCGGAGCACGTCAACATACTCTGAGTCAGAATGGTGAGCTAGCTACCAGTTCTGAAGATGGCACTACTGCAGACTGGTGGCACTTCAGGCTGCGTAGCCCAAATCTGGAAGTTAGAAGGCCAAATTGCTTTTAAATACAAAATGTTTTAAGTGCCACCATGATGTTTCAAGTACAAACTCCATGCATTTTTCTACAGTCAAAATAATACAGGCATACTAAAAACAGTATATGAAGTTGCTTTTTGATTATGGATATATAGATAAATAAAATGTGTCTTGTGTACATTTAGGTCACCTCTCTCACATAGACACACAGACATGCAGGCACACAGACACACACATACACACAGTCTAAAATTTGAAAAAATAGGAAATTTGGAACACCTGTCATCTCAAGATTTCAGATAAGGGCTATTTAACCTGTATCTCTACAATTTTGAGACACTGCCCAGAATTTCCATGGTCTAACAAGGTGCTTTTTTTTTTTAATGCCCCAAAAGACTGTTTGGTGTTAAGCTTGTTGGAATGTCATTGCATCCTCAAAAGACTATGGAGGTTTTGGTGGTTAATTGTGTTAGTTAAACTGACTGGGTGTTGGGGTGCCCAAGGATCTGGGGAAATGTTTTTCTGGCTGTGTCTCTGAGAGTACTTATGGATAATGACATTTGAATAGGCGACCTGAGCAAAGCACACCACTCCCAATGTACATGCGCCATATTCAACCTCCTGAAGGCCTGACTTCTCCAGTCTGGGGCTAAAATGTCACACCGGTGTTTCCCCACCTTCACAGTCAACAGAAACACTGGCTTTTCTAAAGTCTCAACCTGTTGATAGCTCTCTCAGACTTGCTAATTATAGATTTTGAAGTTACTCAGCCTCTAACTCTATGGGTCAGTTCCTTATAACCCTCCCACTTACACACACACACACACACACACACACACACACACACAAACACACACACACACAAACACACACACACACTCTATCTATCTATCTATCTATCTACCTATCTATCCATTTATTTATCAATCATCAATCTCTATGTCTGTTTGTCTATCTATCTGGATAACATTTTTTAACGGTTTTATTTCTCCAGAGAACAGTTAACACAGGTGGCTCTTTTATTACTACCATACTATCCAGAACTCTTTCAGATCATATGTTCTGTGGGCACACTGTAACAGCACATCTATTGTCCCAGGACTCGGGAGCAACAAGATCTCCTGTTTGAGGTTTAAGACCAGCCTGGCCTATACAGATAGACCTTGCTTTATGGGAGGAGCGGGGAAGAAGAGGTAGAGTGGGGAAGCTAAGGAGTGAAGAGCACATGCAGTATTTTCGGAAAGTGGAGCACACATAAACACTCAGTTCTTAGGGGCGCTTTATTTGCTTTCTAGAGACCAGGGCCTAGTTTGCTAGGAGAGTTTTGCTGTTTTGCTCAGACAGATCCTGGGTCTCTTTCCCACCATGCTACTTACCTCCTGTGCCTTCCCATCACCCATAAAGTTACTCCCCTTCCCTTCTACATTTGGAAGTATTTCCTAGGGTCCACTACTTCCATTAGTCAGGGCCAGCCATGCTCAGCCTATGGGCTCCCCTGAGTAGGTCTGGGTTTCTGGGCCGGTGTCATGGTTAGGGATGAGCTATACTAGATAGTGGGTGACCTGAACACACTCCTTTTACTCTTTGGGACCCCATAACATAGACTCAGCATTACATCACAGATGTTTATTATCTAATTAACAAAACTCAGATCATACTTGTGTCATTAAACAAATTATCTTCCCAAAGAAAGTGAGAGCAACTTTAGGAGAGGAAGAGAGGAAGAAGATTCAGTTTCCAGACAAGGTTTTAATGGAGTCTTGCTTGTTTGTTCTTGAGTGGAATCTAGGGCTTAGACATGACGTGGACACTCCTACCACTGAGCTACATCTGTAGCCCTCATGAGTGCTTTGAGGGTGAAGCATTCAAGTTTGCAGTGGATTACAACTGGCTGAAGGACTGGGGAGATAGCTTTCCGTGCAAGCTTGGGAACCTGAGTTTAGTCTACAGTGCCCACACAAATGCCTAGTGTGGTGGCATGAACTTCGAGTCCCTGTCACCCGTGGAGGTGGAAACAGGCAGATCCCTGTCTAGCCTAACTGGTAAACCCCAACTCTCAGAGAAAGACTGGGTCTAAGCAGTAAAGTGGATGACATCTGAGGAAGGACACATAAAAATGACCTCCGGCCTCCACAGGCACACACATATGTATGATACACATATGAAAATAGGCATGTGTGTGTGTGTGCACATACCCATGAACAACTGATTGATTTATAATCAGAACCCTTAAGAGGAAAAGAAGAAAGAGTACAGAAATGGTAAGCACACCATCATTCAAATGCTGTCTCCAGTTCCTTAATATTCTGATTTGTAAGACTGTATTTAATATAAGAAACATAGGTTGGCTGGGAACCAAGAGCCCGACCCTGTATAAGCAGGCTCCCTCCATATGAGTTGTAAAACAAAAATCTGCACATGTCCAAAGAGGCCTCCTCCATCTCCTTGTGGTTGAAGGCTTGCAATTGGACCCTGGATGAAAGGGGAGAGGGCAAGGGTATCCCAACCAGATTTTCCCCCCCCTCAGGCTGACTTTTCATAGCTCACCGCACCCTGTCCCGGAGCTGCTGCCAGGGGCTCAGCAGGCTTCCCACTACTCCAGCCATCATAAAAGGCATCCCATGTTGTGGGCTTAAGGCCAGTTGTCATTTGAAGTAGAATTATAGCTCA